TCACCTCCAAGATGGCGTTGGCGTCGATCCCCACGAGGCTGAAGATGCGAGGCTTGACGAAGTGCTTGGTGGCAAAGTTGAGGGTGCCCGCCAACATCACGATCTTCACCCCCGGGACCTGCAAACGGACCGACGTCACCTCCCAAGCTGGGGAACCTTTCCCAAATCAGCTTCCCCTTTATTTGATCTTATTCCTCGTAGTTTTCTCCGTTCAAATCAGTGGGTTACACAAATTTTATTTCCCGTAACGGTTCATAAATGATTGAAAGGGGTCTATAATACATTAAAATAATGAGCAATGAAGATACGAAGTGCGAAGTAAAGTAGTTTAAGATCTAACAATCCGGGAGTAAAAGTAAAAGTTGGCCAACTTATTGACTTTTTTGGGTCATTTATGACCACAGGCGCAAATAATGTTTTGCAACCCTCTGAAAATGATGTAAATCCTCTATTAGATATGTTATTTATTCCCAGTTTTACTTGTGTTGTACAATGTTTCCGTTTTATAAGTTTTCTATGTTAAAAATAATTTTATTTTCATAGCGTCAGAAATGTCTCCAAACAGATTCCTCGTTAAATGTCGAAATTACAAGAAAAAATATAAAAACATAGCCCTTTTCTGTTTTATAATATGTTGCTGTTTCTAGATTAAAATCTAGCGAATAACAAGTTGCCAGTTCTGAGCATCCAACTAGAGTTAAAAATGCTGCCACCGTCGGGACTGAAACCCTAAGAACGTGCGGAATAAAGTAGGTTAAAACCTCATAGCGTTTTCCATTCGTTGCACTGAAACCCACCCCAGTGCAGGGCTAAAAGCGTCATCACTCCGCATCCCCCCCACGCGCGATGGTTACTTAATAGCACTGTATTTATTAACATAAAGTTATTGAACATTGAATTTTTGGAATAGTATACAAATTGATTTTCCGAACTTCGCGTAAGTCACAAAAAATATTATAAAACATTTTTTGTAAAACATGGTATACTCCATTATTTGAAGTGTCTGTGCGTGACAGAAATTCCTCAATTGCCTTTACATTTTCACCACGAATTCAAATCAACATTCATAATTTCCGTACCTAACCTCAAAACTGCACTGACGAGCTCCTCAATTCAGGTTAGGACGCTCCAAGTGCGCACTGGTCCTGTGTCATTGTGCGAATAGAACACGCGCATCTTTGTCCCGGCGCGCTCTAGCGGTCAGATGGTCAATCTCCATCAGGCTTTTGTCCATTTTCCCTGATCCATTGAGCAAATGCTGAAATAGACCCTTGTTTTGCTTTTGGGCGTAAATGTAGCTTCACTATGCGCACGTCGTGTTCAACTCTCCTTTTGCTTGTAATGGTAGTAGATGTAAGGACGAGTTACTATTTTGTTAGTAATGCAGAAAAATCATAACTGCATTTCGCTTAGCAATGCAAATAAGTTTTGTATAACTCGGAAACGAAAATGTCTATTTTTTTTCAAATATTGCTAATCTTGCGCTTTTTAAAATTTTATTCTTATTTATTTAGTTTCAATTTTTACTCAGCTTTCAACTATTTATAGTTAAAATGACGGGAAGGGATTCTGGAACTCAAGAAAACGAGCACAGATTATCTTCCACCCCCATGCGTCACATACAGTTTTTACTTCTTTTTTTTTTTAACTAAATAAACATAAATCTATATCAACTAATCTAAGCTGCGCTGAGAGCACACTGCGTGCGCAGCAGTGCGGCAAATGGAAGATCCCTGTCCTAGTGCCCCACCTCGTGCGTGATGCCGGGGCGGAGCGGCGCGTACACGTGCCGCCGCTTGGGGTCGGCGTGGGCGGGGGCGGCGGCGGCGCGTACCACGAGGCTGCATGGTGCTGTCGGGCGGCAGCGCGCCAGAAAGTCGACAGCAGCGCCGGCCAGCCGGCAGGCGCGCCCAGGGGCAGGCAGCGGCGCACCCGCGCCAGCGTCGCCGCCACACGCCAGCTCCAGGCCGCGCGAGCGCGCGACAGCCCGGCCCGCCAGCGCATCGCGGCGCAACGGCGCTCCGGCACGAGCTCGCACCGGCACGCACGGCCAAGCACGCTGGCACACCCACGAGCACGGCACTTGCCGCACCCGACACAACCCCCACTCTCCCCCAGGGGCCCCGGGGGGTTTTCCCATCCCACAAACAACATAGTAATTATGTAATATAGTAATAATAAAGTAAAATGATAGTAATAATATAATAATAATAATCTATATAATAATAATAATTGACTAATAATAATAATCAATCGAGGAAGTGATAGGGCGTGTGCGCTGATCTTACTGTCGGGAGCCTGGGCATCTGATCTCGGCATCAGATGGGGTGTCCGTGGTTTCCCGTCAGGCCGATTTCCGTCTTGACTCACAAATTTCGCTACGACTTTCACCCGACTTGCGGAGGGGCGATAGGCGATTTTGATTTAACTAGAGGCGTTATTTAATTATGAGGATCTTGTTACGTGCAAGTAAATCTACAAACATGGGACACGCCAGCCTCCGAAGGAATGCGTTGAAGGTTTTTTTTCTCCCTTTTAAAATCCAGTGGCTTGGATTAGGTTTTTGAACCGCCACATTGGTGTAATAGTATGGTAGCTAATCGTACACCCATCGCTCGCACTATATAACTACGTTAATCATCCGAGATTATAATATCAATAAGCCTCCAAAGACATGTAGGCGTGGTCGTATAGTTGATACGATTATAACAATTATAATAATAATATAATAATAATAATGAATAATGATAATAATAATAATAATAATGTGCGGAGCTGCACTGTAAAGATATTCCGCGATAATCAATAACATTAATGGTTTTCAAACGTCTAATACATACTGCTTGGCAGAGAACAAATGAAATACTCCTCTCTATAATATAACATAATGTTTTAACAAATCAAATCCCACGACACTGAATTACAGGGTATTGTAAATAGACGAATATTCTTTTTGTCCCATAATATTTTTTAAAACGCTGTTTCCACACACATGAAAGCAACCATGTATGGCGGACGGCACTTTTGGGGATTTGCTGTACAAGACGTGGCTGTGTTGGAGATGCTCCAAGTTATGCGACGCCATCGTAATGGCAGTATTGGAGTAAAAGGAACATCATAATAAGATGTATAGCATTTCTTCGGTCGAAATAAAAAATGCTTAATTGTTTATACATTTTACCCAATTCCAGGCTTCTAATGAAATCATGAGATGTGTGACTTGTGGCGTTCTGTTACATTCAATATCTAAACCTAGTGTAAATTCTCAAACTACTCAAAAAATGCTTCTTTTAACATATGGACAATTGTATTTCATTGGACTCTCTTTTATGATGCGTACGATAGGAGCAATGATATGTGTAGTTACTTGAAAAAAGAAAGTTATCTCAAAATATCTTTGGTAACTAAGAAGTGATAAATAGAATGATTCAATTAGAGTCATTCGTATGCACTTTCCGTGAAAGACTGCATTGCAATTATGTCAACGTGCAAAAATTTTAATGATGGTGCGTAATATTATATTGATAAGGATGTTTGAAAACAAATTTTCGGCTGGCTACCCTCCCAGAATTAAAGTTCACATTGAAAAACATGTCAGGCACCCTAAAAAAAGATTTTTTTTAAATTTTATTTTTAGAAAAGGGGGGCCCCCCCCCGGGGGCCCACCAGTTCGCTCAAAAAGGCATTTTTTTTTGATATTTTGTTACAGTTATTAACTTAAGTACAATAATGCCATTCAACTATAACAATGCCCGATTGGATATGTGGTGCCCAGGTAGTTGCTTTTTAAGACTGCATTAACTCATCAGCTTTATCATTACATTTCAGTAACTAAAAAGGTACCTAGAAGTTACTATTTTTTGCCATTATTTTTAAAGATTATTTTCGTATTTAATATCGTTAAAACTTCCAATATTTCTATTGAAAAGTATGAGTTCTCTGTAAAAGGTAATAGAAACATTTATTTAAACTAATGGTATAACATATATAAACATTGAAGTGATAAACCACACACAAATGTATATTGCTTTACTTTTGTGCCTTAACGAAACCTGATACACCTCTCTTCCCATTTTCCTTATCGTTAGCTGGCGAGTGGCGCACTGTCGGGCCGAAGGGCAGCTGCAAGGCCCGCAGTGGGAGCAGGGGAGGGCCGGCGGCGGGGTGGGCGGCGTGGGCGAGGGGCGAGCGCGCGCCGCCAGCCTCCGCTTGCACCGCCGCCGCCTGCTCCGCCGCCGCGCCCGGCAGCCCGCCCAGCACCGCGCTCGCCGCGTCGCCCAGGGCCTGCGCGCACAGCGACTGCCGCCCCCGCGCAGTTAACGCCGGCGGAGGGAACATGCGAGTTGTTTTACTTTCTCGCCTCGTTTGGTAAGAAGAGAAAGTATTGTAATAGTGCGCCCGAAAACGGCGAATTTTCCACACAAAAGCTCTTATTGCAGGATCCTAGCAACGAAAAAGCGAATAAATCATGTTATTTTCTCACCCTTACTTCGAAAGAAGACAAAGTATGGTGATAAAGAAACAGAAAACGACGAATTTTCCACACAAAAGCTCTTATTGCAGGATCCTGGTAACGAAAAAGCGGATAAATCATGTTATTTTCTCGCCTTTACTTCGAAAGAAGAGAAAGTATTGTGATAGAGCGACAGAAAACGGTGAATTTTCCACACAAAAACTCTTGTTGCCGTGCGCTTGGTAACGGAAAAGCGGATAAATCATATCATTTTCTCGATCTTACTTCCTAAGAAGAGAAAGTATTGTAATAGTGCTGCAGAAAACGGCTAATTTTCCACACATAAATAAGTTGCCGGACCCTGGTAACGAAAAAGCGGATAAATAATGTAATTTTCTCGACCTTACTTTGTAAGAAGAGGTAGTATTGTAATAGTGCGACAGTAAACTGCGAATTTTCGACACACGATCTCTTATTGCCGGGCCCTGGTAATGAAAAAGTAGATAAACCTTGTCATTTTCTTGTCCCTACCTCGTAAGAAGATAAATGTATGTAATCATGCGCCGGAAAACGCGCAATTCCCGGCAAAAAACTCATCAATTCCGGCAAATCATATTTTTCAAAGAATATAAGACCGGCTGCATTCTCTTAAACGTCCTTCACAC